AAACAAGGAAGGCTTAAGCTGCCTTCCCAAGTAATGAGCAGGAGGAAAGCTCCAGCTCACCCTCCCTGGCTGCTCCTGCTTGTTCCCCACAGGGTCAGAGGCAGAGCAGGGGCATTCAGGCAGGTGGACCCACACACAGTGGGAAGACTTCTTCCAAAAGATCTAATGGCTGGATGAGAGGAGAAATCACTTAGAGGTGCAAAAGGGATGATGGCACAAGATCCTGAAACTACCTTCAACAACTCAGCTGTTTCTGTCCTACCAGGATTTGAGAGCTCCCAACCACTCGAGGGGCACAGCCCCAGCATGGCAGGGTCTGGCTGCTGATGGCTCCATGGCCTGGAAGAGTCTTTCCTCTACAACAATGCTGTAAGTGCTGTGGGGACCCCCCAGACCTGCCCTCACCACACCTCCTGCCAGAAGGGGATGCACAGACCTTTCTCCACATGCCCTGCACAACAAAAGCAAAACCCTCCATCTCTCCAGCTGGATGAAGCCAGCTCCCCTCCTCAACCTGTCACCTCCCCTATGCCCAGACAATTACTCAGGTCATCCCAACGCCCCCAGGGATTTGCCAGGCTCCTCTTCACAAGCTAAACCCATCAGCTAATCCCACACAAAGCTGCAGCCACCACCCATGCAGGGGCTCTGGCTGCACCTCCTCCATCTGAGCAGCAGCACCCCAGCCAGAGGTGGCCCCACGCCAGCAGCTGGGGACCCATCAGTCACTGACTCAGCTTTCACACATTTCCATGTGACACCTTCCCGTGGTTAATGCTCCAAGCCACCTGCATTTCCGGCCCTGTGGCTGCAGCAGAAATTGTTCACTGTCCCCTCCTAGGTGGTGCAGAGGTGAGGAGTCAGACCCAATGTCACCTCTGGGAGCTGGTGAGGCATGATAAAACACCAGGGAGGAGAGAAGACACCAATACCCCGGGTTTGGGTGCAGCTCTCCTGCTGAGCCAGCACAGCATGGCTGTGAAAGGACATTTGGGTTTTTCAGCCCACCTACCTGCTGTGCATGGGGCAGGAAGAGAGACAGAACAAAATGTCCTTCAAAGAAACCCATATTACTCAACTAAGAACCATGTGGAATTGAGGATTTTTGTTCCGTAGGCAGGGAAAGTCCAACCAGGACCATGCTGGCCACAGCAGCTGCATGTCTGCTCCAAAACAAGCATCCACCCGATGAGCAGCCATTCCCAAGCCAGCAAAGCTCAGCTCCTGCTTAAAATGAGACTGTTGGGGATTAAAGGAGGAGGCAGACTCTCAACACTGGGTGCTGAAGGCTTTGGTGATAAGGCGGGGGATACCTCTAAGCCTGTCTCCACAAACATAAGGATTAGCAATTTACTTCCCTTAGAAACAAAATCCAGGATTTTAACATGATCACAGGCTTGGAAAGAAAAATAAACATCATGAAACTCGAAAAAGGAGGAGGACAAGAACAGAGCAAACAGGCAGCTCGAGGAAAACTGAAGCACTTCCTAAACCGGAATGAGAAATGCACCAAAGTCAGAACTGAAATCTTGGTAGCTTTGAACACCACTGGCCCTGATGCCTCTCACACCAACCTCTTATCAGTGATAATGCTGTGAACATTAAGGGAAGCCTTCCTAATAATGTGCATGAGAAAAGGCCCATTTGTTTAATGCAACAGAGCACATAACGCATTAATTACCTACTGAGTTGGAAAAGTGATGTTGAAAACATGCTCGAGTTAAAGCAAACTGAGGGTTTCAGCTAAGCCCATTATGTCCACTGGCTTTGCTGTGGCTTTGGTGCTTAACAGCCTTTGAGAGCAAACCTCTGCACAGCTCACAGCAGATGGGACAGCACAGAAAACCCCACAAAACCAACACAGAGCACGGCTGTACCATCCACCCCAGGCTCCCCCATCACACAGAGGATGCTGCCAAGCCCAGCATCTCCTCCTGATGCTGTCTCATCCACCCTCAGGTGCCCTAAAACCTGCCCAGCTCTGCAGCACAGCAGCACTCCCCCCTTCAGCCAGGGCTAATCTCAACCTGTCACGCTCAGGACTAACAACCTGGCCTCCTGGAGAACACAATCTGCCCATGTGCTCCTGCCCTGGCCATCACCACAGTGTAAGGCACCAGAGAGCAATTTTGTGATTAAGTGGCTGTAGCCATTAATAATTAGCACGTTAAAACTCCAAAGGGTGATGTTGGCCTCTTCAATACAGCCTCAGCACACGCAGGGGTGGTGGGGGGGAGTGCTCATCCTCAGTGCTCCCTTTTCCCGAGTGAGAACTGAAGCACAGGGGTGAGGGCAGCCCATGGGAGCACAGGGATTAGACACAGAATTGCCCAGATTTCCATCTCTGAAACTGCAATGGCAGAAGACATAGAGGAGGTTATGTAAGCATCCTCCATGGAATCTGGGAGCATCCCAAAGCCACTGCTAAACCAGCCACCTCATGCACTTGTCACTGCCTTGCAGGAGATGCTCTTGATGAAGCCTTTGGAGCTCAGGGTGGGAGACCCAGTGCCATGGATACTAATGGATACCAATGGAAATAAACACAGCACAGAGGTCAGAGAGGGAAATATGCTGGAGGAAGTTCAGGATGTGAATGTGGATCCCCTGGTTAGCACCCAGAGGGTCGCACTGTGCTGCACTGAGCTGCTCAGTCCATTCTGTACGATCAGGCACAAAGAAGAAACTGCTTTTGCTTTAAGAACATTCAACTTATCCTGCCTTTATCAGCAATTCCCAATCTTAAGCCATTCTGTTTCTTCTAGAAAAAGCAAAGAGAGAAACCTAAACAGAAAAAAGCAAATTAAAGTCTCAAAAACAAGCAATTCCAGATCTTCAGTCGATTTTATTTCAGATCAAATGAAAAAAGTTGATTAATCCCCTTGTTCAGACTGCTAACACTACCAGAACAGACTGCATCCGTTTCACATCAGAGGAAGCTTAACGTACTTAAGCCAAACATCTTCCAGGCAAAGAGAAAAAAATAAATATAAAACAGGAAAGAATCAGTGATATAGTATTTGCATGTGTTTGAAGATACAGCTTTGGAACTGCAGAGTGAAGCCAAGTTCTCCAGTAAAATAAGTGGACAAAGCTCCAACCTTGGAGTCCAGCACAGTTATGCCTAGTTAATCTATAGGTAAACTGAAATCTCAGCTTTGAAGAACATCAGTGTTTCACCACCCAGCAAGTGACCAGTGCTGTCAGTGTGTACTACATCCAGAAGGAGCCTCACCTGAGAGCACAGCCCTCACATCCACCTTCACCTCTCCCCTCCTTACACCTTCCATTGATAATTCCATGTATTCCTGTTGCCATAGCACCTTGCTCAGCTCTGATCACCACAGGGGCAGGATGCGGCCTCGCACAGGATGCACTGAGACTCATCATTTCCAGCACAGATGAAGTTGGGGCTCATTTCTGTCCTTGCACACTCATCAGATACCATGTGAGCACCCCAGCACCCTCTGAGCTGCAAACACACCTCCTGACACTGGTAAGAACACGGGCTCTGGTGACCCCAAGTCATCACTAATCCCGCTCTCTCTCTGCTGCCAGCACGCCGAGGTAGGACACCAGGCACGCTTGATGGTTGCGGAGCAACTCGACCTACAAAGTCCCATCGGGGGATGCCCGAGGGCAGCACCCACACTGCTGGACACCGCCTGGATGCAAGGTGATGGGAAGGACCTGTCTGCATCTCCTCCACCGGGAGCACGGTGCATGCCAGGGACCACTGCCTGAAGGACGCTCCGGGGAGCCTGGGCCAGCACCTGCCCCCAAAGCACCGGTAACAGCCCCGGTAACAGCCCCGGCAAGGCACAGCCGCCCCTCCAGCCCGCACCCGGCCCCGCGGGGAGGCCGGGCCGGGCGATGCTCGGGGGGTCCCGCGGCGCGGAGCTCGCTCCGCCCGCCCCGCACGGGGGTCGCCGCAGCCGGAGGGGCCCGGGCAGCCGCCGCCCGGCCCCGGCCGCGCCTTTGTCCGCCCAGCGGAGGATGGGGCGCAGCCCCGTCCCGCTCCCCGGTGACACCGCCTCGCCTCGGGCCGCTCACCTGCGGGGCCGCTGTCCGCAGCCGCCTCCTCCTCCTCCTGCTGCTGCTGCTGCTCCTCTTCCTCCTCCTCCGCCACCGCCTCCTCCTCCTCCTCCTCCGGCGGCAGCGCCGGGCTGCCCCGTGCGGGCGCGGCGGTGCCGCGGGGCCGTGCGGGCGGCAGCGTGCCCAGGCTGCTCTCAGCGGGGCCGCCGCTGCCGCTGCCGGGCTCGGCGGGCGGCGCGGCGCCGGCGGGCAGCGCGGCGGTGGCGGCGGCCAGGAGGGCGGCGAGGCACAGCAGGGCGAGCGCGGTGCTCGGCCGGCGCCTCATGGTGCGGCGCGGGGCTCCGCCATGCACTCGCTCATGGACGCGGGCGCTCGCACACGCACCGAGCGCGGCCGGGAGCGGCGCCGGGCGGCGGCGGCTCCTCCCGCCGCCTCAGCCAGCCATGCCGCGCCCGCGCCCTGCGCCCCTCCGGCGGCTCCCGCCGCGCCGCGCCCCGGCTGACAGCGCCGCGCCCGCCCCGCCCCGCGCCGCCGCGCCCAATCAGCGCCGCGCCCGCCCTACCTGACGGCGCGGCGCAGCCAATCAGCGCCGGGCGGGGGCGGGCCGGGGGGCGGCGCGCGGCGGGGAGGGGGCGGCATTGTGCGGCCGTGAGGGGCGCCGGGCCGGAGCTGCCGTGCCCCCGGCAGCGCCGCGGGCGGGCGCCGGCTGCCTTTCTCAGGGGGGCGTGCCTACTCGATTTGTCAGGATACGGGGTTTTAAAGGTTTTAACTTTCTGTCGTGTTTAGAATTTTTATTAGAAAAATTAAATTTCCCCCCATCCTCCCCAGTTTTGGGAAACAACGAGGAAGGCGCCGGGGAATGGCATCGGGCACAAAGCGGTCCTCGGGAAGGAGTGCTGCTCCTTGCGGGGCTCTGGAGGGGCTGGCAGGTCGGGGGTGCAGCCGCCTGCATCGGCGTGCCCTGCCCGCCTCCTTTAAAACAACAAAAAAGGTGTGTGAGGTGTGAGGCTTTGTGCCGCTCCTCTCCCGGGGATGGAGAGGAGCTCTCCCCACCAGCAGGGCTGCCACAAGGACAATGACACCTGGGCTCCCCAGGCTCCACACCGGCACTGACCTTGGCCAAGCCCCCCCGGTCCCGGAGCAGCGACCGGGGAGGAAGCACGGTGACACGGATATTCATTATCCGCGGAGCCCGGCTGGGCGATCGCCGCTCCGCGGCTGCTGGACCAGGGGGAATGCGCTGCCAGCCCCGCGCGGTGCGAGAACGCCGCTCCGATCAACACAAAGGCACGTGGAAGCAAGGCTGGGATGTGCTGGAGGAGCTGGGTGGGCCGGGCAGAGCCGCGGGGCAGCAGCGGCAGCATCCCTACACATCCCCCCGCGGGAAGGGACCGAGCACCGGGAGCTTGGTGGCTCTCGGCTGCCCCGCCCTGCCCGCAGGTGTGTGCCACTGCCAGGTGAGTGCATCATCTCTTGTTCCTGCAGAAGCCAATGGATGCTGACAAGTGTCCTTTGGGATGGGACAGCCCCACTGACCAAGCGTCCTTTGGGATGGGACAGCCCCACCTTCACCCACCACATGGTCTAGGCTGCCAATCCTTCTCTAGCACAATATTTAGGAGTTGCCTCCACTGCCCAGCATAGCTGCTGTGGGATAATTCTTCTGCAATCACTCACTGCTCTTCCCCCATACCCACGCCCTTCTCAGAAATAAACAGGACTTTATTCCTGCATACTAATAGAATTATTATTCCCCAGCAGCTCTGCTGCACCATTTCCCCCCACAGAGACAAACCTTTCTGAGATCTGCTTTCCATAATTGCCACTAGCCCATCGCTCCCCACGGGAGCAGAGTGTCCCTCTGATCAGGGGGAACACAGCTGGCAGGGAGGCAGGAGGGTTTGCTGAGCCACTGTCTCCTCCAGCAGCTCACACAAGGTTGTTGTCTATGGGAACAGGAAGAAGAAACCGAGCAGAGGAAAGATTAAGGAAAGAGTTGCCTGGAACAAAGAAATTCGTTAGTTTGAAATAGAAGTTGCACAGCCTCAGGAGCCAAAGGAGGGATGCTGTGCCCACCTCTCAGCTCAGGGCTGCTCCCCACAAGGACCAGCACAGGATGCCAGATCTGCTCATCTGATTCCCAAACTATTACATTCTCATCTCTGCTTGGGAGGAGCAGGTTAAGCATGTCAGTCCTCCATCTCTTTATCCTCTGCTGTCACCCCAACAAAGGAGGGAGACAAGAAGATCCTGGCAGTGTCAGAGGTTCTTGGGCATCTTTAACCGAGCAGGACACATGAAAAAGGACTGACCACCCCTTTTGGAGGTGGGATCACAATGCAAAAACAGAGAGTCTATCTGCCCAGCTGGCTGATTTCAGTACTGAATTATTATGAGAATCAGTACAAAAAGCCACAGCAATAAATTTTACTGCCTCTGCCAAATTGTGGGCACACACAACCCAGAGCCTTCATGGTAATGCCACATCCCAGTGGCAGCAGGGGCAGAAAACATGAGGCATAAATTCCCACTTAGGTGAAAACCACTGGCAGCTCCCCCAGCTGCCAGGAGAAGGCTGGGTTGAAGGCTGGAGTCAACACTGGAGAAAGGCTGTGGGAGATGCTGGGTGAAGGGGATGGAGGATGCTGGATGAAGGGGATGGAGAATGTTGGATCGAGGGGATGCTGGATGAAGGGGGATGCTGGACGAAGGGGATGGAGGATGCTGGAGGAAGAGGATGAAGGGGATGCTGGATGAAGGGGATGGAGAATGTTGGATCGAGGGGATGCTGGATGAAGGGGATGCTGGATGCTGGATGAAGGGGGATGCTGGTTGAAGGGGGATGCTGGTTGAAGGGGCTGGAGGATGCTGGATGAAGGGGATGGAGGATGCTGGATGAAGGGGATGGAGGATGCTGGATGAAGGGGATGGAGGATGCTGGATGAAGGGGATGAAGGATGCTGGATGAAGGGGATGGAGGATGCTGGTGAAAGGGATGAAGGATGCCGGGTGAAGGGGGATGCTGGATGAAGGGGCTGGAGGATGCTGGTTGAAGGGGCTGGAGGATGCTGGTTGAAGGGGATGGAGGATGCCGGGTGAAAGGGCTGGAGGATGCTGGTGCAAGGACCGGGGGATGGCACGTCCCCGGCCCGGCGCAGGGACAGTTCCGCAGGACCTGCCGCTCCCCCTGTTGATGTCACACAGAGTTGCAAGTGCTCCACAGCCCAGAGCACCGGACCCAAACCATCCCCGGCTGAACCCAAAACCCAAGCCCCCAAAAAACCAATGGCTGCTTTCAAGGGCGTTCAACCGGAGCTGCCAAAGGCACAGAGCAAACCTGGCTGGCACCACGCCACCAAAATGTTCACGCTTCCCTTCTTTTTGTGTTCTCATTTTGCAGTGAGAAGGGGAGTAATGCATATGTGAGCAGGAGGGATCCCCAGGGAGCAAGCCACAGAACCCAGGTCGCATGCAGGCAGCCCAGCCTCCATGCCTGCTTTTTCCATACGTTTTAAGGGAATATATATCCTCCCAAGAATTGTTCCTATTTCATCAAATCAGCAAGATTTTCTTCCCCAGTGGAAAGTTTCTATCAGATATTTAGCAACCAGCTCTTTCTCTGACCTATTTGCAAGCCCCAAGCCACTCTCCACCACCCACTGCTTGAAAGCTTTGATAATTCAATGAGATGTTAATTCTGACATCCAGCATAACTCTCAATACAAAACCTTCTCTCTCTCTTTTTTTTTTTTTTTTAATTATCATTAATTGCAATCCAGGAGTAATGAATCCTCTGCACAGACTTTGCCTTCCAAGCACCCAGCAGCACTTTGCTGCACAACTCCCATTAAGTCAATGTGTATTAAGTAGGTTTTGACAGTTCTGTGTGCTCTGAGGTGGGCAAAGCCAGGAAAAGACAAGGCAGCACAGCTCTGCCGTGGGGACTGAGGCACAAGGCTGACTCCAGCCTGGTCAACACATGGAGGTGTCAGCACACATGTGCTTAAAACACACTGCAAAAGGGCACCGTCACTTTTAAGAATGTCAGGATCATCTGTTAGGGCAAAATCCTGCTCTAAATGCAGAGGGTTGTTAGTGAGATCCCATGTGCCTTTTCAGGACACATGGCCTGTGAGACTGAGCCACACACAATGCTGGGATCTTTTCCACCTTCATTTAGGAGCCTGCCTCGGTGGGATTTTGCAGGGCTTGCCCCTGAGCAGGGTACCTCTCGCTTTGCAGAGCCCTGATTCAGGGGAGATCAATATATTCTTTAGGCTGCACGTCTTCCAAGAATATTTTCATTGTTCCACATGCATATTTATCATTTATTTAAATCATCAAATAAAGACTGATTGGAAGTTGAAATCCCCAGGAGCATCTCTACAAACCTGGTCATGAGACACAAGAACTGACTTAAAGCATGAGCAGAAGCCTTGGCTTTATTTTCCCTTCTGGAGCCAAGTAAACAGCCTGTGTGTTGGAAAACAAACAATTTTTACAAATCTTTCTGTTTTCATGACCAGGCCAACATTAGCAACAAGAAGGTGATAGTGAGAATGCAGAACTCCCTGTCTTCATCTCTTCCTTTATCTATTTAAAAAATAAAACACCTTCTCTGTGGTTGCTTTGGAGCAGCAGCCTTGCCTGAGCTGAGCGCACGCATTGCCTACATTTATCCTCTGATTTGAATATAAATGAAAGCAAGTGAGTTAAAAAGGGAGCCTGGGGAGTTGTCTCTGCAGGCCTACAGCTGCTGGTGGCAGGGCTGGGTGGGCAGAGGCAGGAGCCTCACCTCAGTGTGCAGGAGGAGCATCCACAGCATCACCCAAAGGTGACAAATTCCTCCTTCACTGGGTCCCACTCGCTCACACATTGTGCTCACGGGGAATTTGCCCTTGCACATGTCTCTGAAATAATGCTGTTGCTTTAAAGGTGAGCCCAGGAGAGCCCTGTCACTGCAGTCAGCTGAGCCCTGAGCATCCTTCCCTCCAGCTCCCTGCAAATCCACCCAGGAGGGGCCTTGGATCCGGGTGTGGATCCAAGAAGGGACACACCTTTACCTGGCCATGAGCCCCCACAGCCTCTGCAGCCTCACACACCTTTTTATCTGCACAAAGCACTGCAGGGAAGCAGGGAACAGTTTCTGCCCTTTGTTGGAAAGGATGGACACAGAATTCCCTACAGTCCTTGTTGCAACTTCCCAGACAGCAGCAGAAGTCCCAGCCCTGGTGAACAGGGCTGCAAACGCTGTGTGCTGCAGCCAGCACCACTCCTACATGAACATAAACAAACCTGGCATTGGCACAGGTCTGCTGCCACCTCAGATCAATGCCATCAGCTGCCAGACCACCCTCTCCTGCCAGGGGAACATCAGCAGGACATGGTGGGGGTGTGTGGACCACTAACAAGGTCCCAATTCTACACAGACTTAAAGAGCAGCTTAATTCTAGGCAAGTCAAGGTCACACAAATTTAAAGCTAAGCTCTTTTTAATATCAAAAGTGTCCTACAAATGCAAAACATGGAATAAATTGGCTAATGTATATGTTTATTGCTGTTCTCTGAGAGGTTGGATCAGAAAGGCTGAGCAGGGAGGGTCAGGCTCTGCACTATTGACTCAGAGTGCTTGGAAAGTACAATTTCTCTTCCACAGGAAATTGTGGTGCTTTCAGATGTGTTTTCATCTCCAAATCCTCCTGTCCATCCCAAATTTGCTGGAGAAGGCTTTCAGAAGTGCCGATGAGGAAGGATTCCCTTTTTTGTGCCATGGAAAGGTGCTGTGGGTGCCCAGCACTGCCAGGGTACAGCCAGGAACCAGCAGCTCACACACGTGGAAGATTAAAATGGCATCAATTTGAGTGGTAACATCAAAACTAAATGGAACAATTTATTGAAATTAAATGCTTTGGAAGAAAAAATTATCCTCTGAAGGTCAAAATGAATGGTTCAGATTTTTCTTCCCATCAATAGTTTCCTACATGTTCCCACAAAATGAGTTGATTTCAGCAAAGCTGTGCTTGCCAATAAAGATCATTTCCACTGAAACCCTTTCCATCCTTCCTGCTGCCAAAAGAGCTCTGCCTGCAGCTGAGCACCCCACAGATCTACAAGTGGGGCATGTTTCCAGTGCAGCCCCCAGCCCTCTCTCCCCAGCCCCTGGCTCTGGGAACACTGGGATTTGGAGGGGCATCCCTCCATGGCATGTGCTTTCTGCTCCCCTTTAAATTCCTGATTATTTCTGCAAATGTGTGTCACAAAACAGGCACAGCCCTGCCACTCGCTAGGAGGAGAGGAGCATCCCTTCAAAGAAGATTTAGAAAAGCAGTGTGGGAAGTGTTTCTGTAGTGCTCATCTACAGAAGAGAGCAGCAAATCCTCTCCTCTGATGGCAGATCGTGAAGGCAATCCTTGAGCGTGAAACACTGAGAGCTACCAGTGATTATACAATTCCTTTGAAAAGGGGCTTTTCTTCCAGATCCTTCTCACAAATCTCCTGCTATTACCCACCCTAAAGCTCTGTTAACACTTCCAATCTCTTGCTTCCTGCCACAGACAGACACTTCACCTTTCACTCACTTTCACTTTCACTGAAAGCACGTTGTTACCTGGGACTGAGGAGGGAAGGGATTAGGGATTGAGAGGCCTGTCCAAATGACACAGGCTGTTAGCTATCCCCACACTGCCTGGGGCAGGGGACTAACCACACCGAGCCAAGTGCTGGCCTCAGAGCCCAGGCTCCCTCCTAAAACACTCAAGGTGTTTGATTCTTTCCACAGTTTTGTTTCAGTGATTGTCCAGGAGGCTCCAGCAAGGCTGGGGCTCATCCTGACTCCTGATCAGTGCTGGAGCATCACACGAGCAGCAGGGCTGGAGTTGGGAAATAAAGCCCAGCCAAGGACAGCGTTGGGGACAACACACCTGTCAGCGTTTGACCTTTTCAGCTGCCAAACCCTGTAACCCCAGAATAACTTAGGAAAGTGTCAGTGTGAAGGCAGGAAACAAGGTCCTTGATATTCCCTGGGGTGCAGGTGGGACATTGAGAGGCCATTTGGGCTCTAACACTGGACAATCCATCAGCCAACAAAGCAAAACCTTTTATTTCTGCTTCTCCACCAAGTGCTCGGGCCTGAGCTTCCCTGCTGCAATGAGAAGCCACAACCTGGCACCACCACATCCCAAAATCCCACTGCTCCCAGCTGCTGGGATCGGGGTGGGTGTGAGGAGCCTGAGAGGAGGCATGGGCTGGGCTGAGCCAGTGGGAACAGGGCCAGGAACAGAGCCAGGAACAGCAGCAAGGGGGGAGGAAGGAGCCTTCCCATTGTCCAGAACAAAGGACCAGATGTGCACCCAGGGTAGGGAAAATCCCACCCTCGCACAGCCAGAGCTGGTGGTTGCACTCCGAAGGGCCTCAAGGCTGTCATTTGGAGTGTGTTCTACACCAGCACAGCTAAAACCCTTCTGGAACTCATGTCATTAATTCCTCCCATTTCCAGAGGGTTGTTCTGACTGACCACACCTGGCCAGCTGCTCCACACCTGCAGGTATCTGGGTCAAGGGGGTTGCTCTTCCTTGTCTCTGATTTTTTGCTTAAAAGCCAATAAGTAGAATCAAACTCATTATGGATTTTTTCCCCCTTTATTTTCTTCACTTCATCCTTATTCCTGAGTTAACATTCTTCATTGGTCCTGCTCAGAAACCTGGTGGATAAACTACTGCATCTTTTGGGATGCCACCGCAGTGCTGAGTGTATCCACACAACCATTTCCACCCAATAATCTCCACATTAATCTCCAGCCATTCTGTGCTAACTTGTGCCTTATCTAACATAGGTATTTGAGAAAAGCTCTCAGTCTTAATTCTCTGACACTGAGACTGAAGAAAAGCACCCTTTTCCTTTGAATTTGTTCCAAAATGTTGGACCTGTTGTTTTGTTGGTTTTTTTTTAACAATGAAGGTGATTCATTTCCAGTTTGATTTCATCTGGCTCTTGCTTCCAGCCATCCATGGTTTTCCCCCCTGCTAAATTACATCCTGCAATGCCCCTTTTCTCCTCTGAAGGTATTTATACACTGTCATCAAGTCACCTCTCAACCTCTTTTTTTAATAATACAAACAGATGGAGGTCTTTAAGTTCTCTCCTCTGTAAAGCTGTTTCTCCAGTCTTTCAATCATTTTTGTAGCTCTTTTCAACACTCTCCAACATCCTCTCTTAAATGCAGACACCTGAAGTGGATGCAAAATTCCTGAATCAGTCTCTCCAGCCCCACAGAAAGGTAAAATCTTCTCCCAGCACCTACTCACTCTTTCCCCTCTCACACATTCAAGAATCTCATTCAGTCTTTTACCTAAAACACCACACGTTGCCAGGAACTTTTCACTGAGCTGGTGCTCCACTACAGCCCTGGTTTGACTCCTGAAACAGAACCAAACCAGCCAAAGCAGCCCCTTTGCTAAGACTGGAGCTCCTTCTTCCTTCCTAAGTGTTCCTCCCTGGACTGCTCCAATTTCTCATGCCACAACAGCATCTTTTGGACTTTTACTGTAAACGCCTGGTTTGCTAAACACTGGACACTGAACCTGGGAAAAGGGAGATTTTTCTTGCATCAGATGTTATAATGTGCCCATTTTCTCTTTTTGCCTGTTCCCTGTCATCACCACTCCTGGGTTTTGGTGCTTCAGGCTGGCAGACATCCACCCACGACTGGGCTCAAGTCTGAGGACCTTTGCAGAGCAGAGGATGGGCCCGGCTGGCCACAGCTGGCTCATACCCAGGTGCCACATGAGCTGTCACCGTGACCTTGTGACAGCTCTGGGGAGCAGGGCTGGCAGCCAGGGTAGCCCCATTTCCCTGGCCAGGCTTCAAAACACATCAGCACTGATACAAGGGACAGACTTTCAGCACAGGCACCCGGTGTGGCCAAACTCTTCTGAGCAATGTGGCTGCCAACATCACACCCAGAGCTCCTGAGAGCTCAAATATCTGAAATTACTCCCCTCACAGGCTTTTCCTCCCCTGGTTCAGCATTGCAGCTACTTTTCCATCTGGGAGCAGCTGCCTGTCAGCACCCTCTGGGGTGCAGCACAGTCACTTACAAGCAGTATTATGGGGAAGTTTTTAAAGGAATTTAAATAATAGGAATTTAAATAACATACTGGAAAAATAATTAAAATAAAAAGCTTCTGCTAGGAACTCCCCCTGTTTCACCAGCAAGTGATTTCTCTGTGGCAAACACCTCTTTTATGGGAGGAAGATCACCAGCCGGGATGGGGTT